ATATATATATATATATATGTAACGTTTTTCCCCGTCACGCGGGACGCTCCCACTGTTCGACCACTGGATTGTACAAGTCACGCAAGAACAAACAACAGGTCCGGGGCTTTTATTCCGCCCTGGTCAACAGACCAGAGTGGGCATAAAACGGTACAATATTCCTCGCAGCGTAAGGCCCGAGTATAGCTAACAAGATACAACTAGGCACTAGGCCTTACCAAAACGATCCTCTGTAGAGAGCGGCCAAGTCCGTGCAGAGATCGCTGGTGATTGCTGCGGTGCTGTACCTTGCGTTGTGCTTCCTCTCCGACGGATTCGTTCCTGACGATTGCCTGCCTGGTTCACTAACAGCCTGCCGGTGAACTGAACTGAACTGGACTGAGCTGCCGGTGCTCTGGGGAGCGCAGTATTTATACGCCTCAGAGCAGGCACGTCACGCACACACGTGACACGCACGTCGGCTTCAGCCGTGTCACGTAAGTCAGCTTCAGACGTGACCCGCACGCCGCTTCAGACGTGACACGTGGGTCAGCTTCACCCGTGACATGCACGTCGGCTTCGGACGTGACGCACGCCGGCTTCGGACGTGACGCACGCCGGCTTCACCGTGACAGGCACGTCGGCTTCGGACACGCTCGTGTCCAGCACGTGCATTTTGCCCTTCCATGCGGGGGTGAGCCCCCTCACATCCCCGGGGATGCTGGGACGTGCCGCCGAGAGCAGAACGCGGGGATGTGATGCTGCGGCAGACCGAAATTCGTTACACTACCCCCCTCCGCCTTTCGAGTCTCGCCCGCGAGATTCGACCAATGGGGGCGCTAACGAACCTTCGGCCGCAGCCACACCAGTAGCGCATTCCGTACTCACGGCTGCAGAGTAGTGCGGCGTTTAATCGCCCACTATCTTCCCAGATCGTCCCACCGCCACTCGTACGACAGCCGTCAAGCGTTGTCGCAGAGTTCCTGTGCGTTTGCGTGCACACCGCGGGAGAAAACAGGAGAGCGAACCCTATCAGCGGGGACGCCTGACGCGTTGCTTCTCTACCGCACTCACAACCGCGGATATCCTGCCCCGCTGCCGATCGCAGGGAGTACAGGGTAGGGAGTTCGTATATCCACCGAGTAGCCTGTGGCCTTCACCCGTGACCTATAACCCCTCCCTGCTCAAACCGGTGTCCTAGACCAGCGACGCCAAGCATCATAGCTACGTGCACAACCGTATGACGTCACCCGCTCGGTACAGATGCACTGTTACCGGCCTCAGGTGCGTCCAATACCAGTGGCTCGTTAGCTGCACAGGTAGCACACGGCGCTGGCAGGCGGGTGCTCGAGCGATCGAACCCCGCCACCAGCGTTGCCTTTTTCTTCCTTCCCTCGTTCGCTGGTGGCATTGCGGTTGTACAAACGTACGTGTGAGGCAAAGCAATAGCGCCGTTTACCTGAATGGCGAAGGGCTTCCAGCCTCTGGACGCCCTCGGCTTACCCGCTGGAGAGGTGGAGCCGGGTGGTTGCCGGCGGCCGGCCGGCTCGGGCGGTGCCGTAAAGTTTTGCCATTTCACACTACAATGCTGTTGACGATGACGATGATGATAGTTGATGACTGACGTAGCCCGCCAGAGGGCGCTACCTTAGTGACGTCCTCTCATTACGTTCTCACACACCTGTCAGCCTGGACATGCGGTGGAAGTGTAAGTGCACATGGGCAATCCCGACCTCGACCCGGTGATAGGGGTCGCTCGCTCTCTGCTCGCTGATGTGTAAAGTTAATAAACGTGTTCCAGTCCTGTCATAACAAAGTAGGCCTACTGTTATAGACTATAAATATCAAGTAACAAAACTTACATGGTGTCAGAAGTCGGATCGGAAGGAATGATGGACACGGAGAGTGACATTTGATCATGAAGCGTGAGATGCTAACGTCGTAAATTGACGATTGATCATAGAGCCGGTGAGCTCACGTGTAATCGAAAAAAATCCAACATGGCGGAAGGGGGACTACGAAAGCCAGAACCCCTGAGTTTCGGAACAAATGCTGTGGAAAGTTGGCGTGTATTTGAACGCGAGTATGACATTTATGTCGCATGTGCGTTTAGTGGAAAATCCGATAAAGTGAAAGCATATATACTATTGAACCTTGCGGGACCGGAGGCAATCGAGAGAGAACGTTCGTTTGTCTATGAACCGAAACGTACAGACCCGGTCAATCCAGAAGCGGTAATACCGGCGGAATCAAGGGAAAATCCCGAGTGCCTGAAACGTAAATTTAGACAAATTTGTAACCCGAGGAGTAATGTGATATTGGAGAGGTTTAAATTTAACTCCCGAGTACAACAACAAGGTGAAACTATACAAACTTAATATAACCATTTATGATGTATATAGTGAGTTGCTGTTTCTGCTGCTGCGCGGTTGTTATTGCTCTTATTGTTATACTCCTACTGTTTCTCTTATTGTTGTTATTGTTCCTACAACTTCTGTTGCCGCCTAGCGTGGCCCTGTGTCGAAAATACATATAAACAATGTATACATTGTATACATTTGTATAATGTAACATTTAATGTATACACAGACGCTACCACAACTATCAATTTCACAGCGACATGTACAGTCACTTTCACTTAACATTTTCTGTGGTTTCACTGATATAGACACATTCAGTATGCATAATGTATGGCTGCGACATGCATAAATGGTATATTGCGCCCGACTTGACTCAGCATATATATATTATACAAACACATTGTATTTGTATATTATATCTATGACTCAGGTAACTCAATATTAGCAATAGGCAGCAATTATTGTGTATTCGATTCAGTGCGATGGGCTACTCGCGCATTATTGCTCACTCTTTAAATGCTGACTCAACAGAATGCTAACCATGCACTTTTGTTTATTGTTTAGTTTATTGTTTATTGTTTATTGTTTAGTCATTCACATGTGGTTGCATGATCACAAAAATGCAGGATATAATACCAGACGAATGAAAGAATAGTCAGCGCTCATTATGGGTTTGATCAGTGTATCTTTGCTTCCGTTCCGTCATGCCAGCGGGCAACGGGAAGCCAGACAAAACAATAAACGCAATTTCTGGCAGGGCTCGTAGGCGTGATCCCTAGATTCACCACACCAATCCCCTGTGGCGAGTCTTGCAGCCTGTCACATGGGGCTTTCATGGTCATATAGGGATTTTGTGCAGCTGGAGCAAAAGTCCTTGGTACATATATTGCTCGTTCATGCAGTAGGCCTATAGATGTGTACAGATGGTGGCTGCGCTCAGCATAACTTCTGTCGGGGTTATTTTTTCTCTGTGTGAGCGCTATCAACAGTAAAAATAACAACCCTGCACGGTGATCGTCCAGAATCGCTACGGGTTGCAGTTGCACATTTCTGTAGACGTAGCGAATTCACAGAAATTTTTACAGCGATTCTAGAATCGCTGTCAAGTTGCATTAAAAAATCGCAGGTCTGCGCCACTGGCAGCAAGAACAAGTCCGCACCAGCTACAGCACACACGCCGCCATTGACTATATCAGGAGTCTATCAATATATCAATATTGATAGACTCCTGATACTATACATGTGTTCGGTTAGTTGGCTCGCGGTGGACGTGCTTCTTTTATTTTCGCGTGGCGTCACCTATCGGACGAGTTAGACGTTTATGTTACGAGTCTACCTCTAGTCGTGTCGGTTTGCGATTCCTGTTTGATGCGGAATCCACGAATCACGATG